TTTTATTTTTTAAAATATATTATTTTTTAAATAAAAAAAATTATATATATGTAAAATGGTAGTGGGGGTAAGTGCCCCCACTACCTTGTAAGTAAATCCGTCCCTGGGTACGGGTACGGGTATACCCGATACCCGACGAGGACGGGAATGAGGATGAAAATCTATACTCAATGAGTATGGGAACGAGAACGGGAATGGGTTAAACTCGCGGGAATGGAGACGGGTATCATGAAACCCGTACCAAACCCGCCCCGTTGCCATCCCTTTTTAAAACACAATAAGTATATTTTGAGATCAAAAGTCTTTTACAGTAACAAACAATGTAGTATCAAGACGAAAAAGATGTGTTTGACGTGGTTCATTTTCTTGTTAATTAGTTTTGTTAAATCTTCTTCTATTAGTTGTGATATTTTCATATAAAATTTGTGGCATCCTTATCAAATTATTTTCTTCTCGAGTGATGACCTCAAAACACTCGCTTTTCTCGCTGACAATTTTGTTATTCTTGCGTCTTACGTTTCCAACCTCACGTTATCATGAGTGGCGAGTTCAAACTTTGCTCGTTGTTTTCTGTTTTTGAAAAATCTAATCAATAATTGTTTCATGTGTTCATTCCTTTTAATCAAGATTGTTTAAATACATCATAGTCATCGTGAACCAATAGTAAAATTTACATTTTGTTGAAAAAAAATCAAGTTTCATACATTAATTAAAGATAAAATAAGAAAATAATATACAAATAAAAGATTATTCTTATTTTATGATTCGATTTTATAAAATTGAATTAAATTTAAACCTTAAGCATAATTTAAGATGGATTTTGAATAAATTTTTGTTTTTAATTATGTTTTTTCTATTTATAATATTTGAATCCAAAACTTTCAAGAAATTTGAGCTTATCTTCATACTTACCAACAACATGTTAGTATTTAATATAATATTTAATGTGATATATATAGAGAGATTAAATTACTTTAGAGTAATTCTTGATAAAGTTATTACGCTTAATAACTCATGATGTATGTTAAATTTTAATAATCCAATAATTAAATTAAAAGTTCTTAATACATAAATTAAGTTTACAAGTTTTATAAAAATTTGAAAAACTATTTGATACTTTATTTCATTAATTAAAATTGATGGATAATTATAAAAACATTTTATATATGTTGATTTGAATCTATATAAAAAAATATCATATCATTTTCAAGTTTTAAAAAAAAATTATAGACTTGACTTACACATTAATAACTTATTTTTAAAATTTAATACATATAATGAGTTATTGAGTGAAGTAACTTTACAAAGAGTTACTATTAGGGTTAGTGAATCACTCCTCATGTATTAAGTTAAAAAGTTTTTAATGTATATATTAAATCGACAAGTTTTTAAAGAATTTGAAAATAATTTGATACTTCATTTTATTAATTCAAATTGATAGATGATTATAAAAATATTTTATATATTAATTTAAATCTATAATGAAATATCATATGGTTTTCAAATTGTTTAAAAATTTGAAGACTTAATCTATACATTAAAAACTTTTAATTTAAAAGTTGAATCATTGAAATTCAATATAAAACACAAGTTATTGAGTAAAGTAAGTTTATCAAGACTTACTATTATAATAAATGTATTTCATGCACAAAGAAGAAAGAAGAACAGTGAGAAGAGAGGTGTGAATCTGAAAAATTATAAATTAGAAAAATAATAAATCCGGAAGTGTGCTTGTTACATAATTCCGGAAAATATTTTTCGGAATACTTAATTTAATAATTCATATCTAATATAAAATTATTAAATAATATAATAATTGATAAAAAAATTATATCGGTATCATTTAAATAATATATATATATATATATATATATATATATAATAAATTACTCTTCTTAATGTGATAAAATGACAAAGAACAAAACCTTTACATTCGTAATAAGGATTGTTTTGTAGTCCTCGAATTTGAATCAATTTATTTTTTCACAAATTTAAAATTAGTCTTTATATATAATTTTTTAAATAAATATTTTAGTTCCTAAAAATTACATACAGCAAACTAATTAGCACATATTAAGTCAAATTGTGTAACATTGTCTAATTAATTGTTATCACTAATAAAGATATTACGTGAATTTATGTTATAAGAATAAGCATGTTTTATTAAGTGAGATTCACGTACTAATAACGTTTGAATAGAAAAATATTAAAGTATTTTTTTTTTCACATTATAGAAAGAAAAAAAATTAAAATTTGAGGATTAAAACAAATTTATCTTCATACTATATATAATTTTATTTATAAAAAAAAGCCAGAAAATTATAAATTTAAATTTTTATTAATAGCTCTAATAATTATTCTGAAACATGGGAATAAGATACATACGCTTGATTGTGCAAGTGTTTGATGTTTTCAGGCATGAAGGTCTCAGTGAAGTGTGAAGGTGTGAAAAAGGTGGCTGTGGCGACCACAGAAGATAACGGCTTCTTCAAAGTGAAACTTCCCTCAGACCAAACAAACCCTCCCTCTTCGAACTGCTTTGCTAAACTTGTTGGAGGGCCAGATCAGGTTTATGCCTCTAACAAAGACCAACTCTCCCAAATTGTAAAGGGAAATGACAAGAACACTTACACCATCTCCACTCCTCTTACTTTCTTCACATCCTGTCCTCAAAACACAGAATGCAATAAGGATGCCAACGTCTTCGCTTCATCCAAAACCTTTGATCTTCCTCTGCCTCCGGAATGGGGTTTGCCACCAAGTAGCTACTATGTTCCTTTCTTCCCCATCATCGGAATACCTTAGTTTCTTCTACAGTAACATAATCCCTAGGAATGAACAAAAATATATACTGTTGTATGGTTTGGTATTTTAGGTGTCCATATGCGTCATGTCATGTGTGTAATAAATAACATGAAAGTTGCATATGCAGTTGTGGTAGCACTATGTTATGATATTCATATGAAAGCACTATATTCTCGGTATATGTAATCACTTTAATGAAAAACCGCATTGCTTGCTCTTGTTAGTTTCTGGTCCAAACAAACATAATCTTTCCGTGTGGGCCTTTATGGGCTCACATCCTCCTCTGTCTTTTGGGTGATGATATATACACCTCCTATTTTTTATAAATATATTTCTAATCTCTTTTTTTAAAATAAAATTTTTAAAATATTCTTCTAACTAAATATGATTATGTTGATAGAAACGTTAATTTTAGCATTTCGGAAAGTATTTTTCGGAATAGTAAAATTATTGTTCCGGAAAGCATTTTCCAGAAATGTATTTCTTATATAATTCCGGAAAGTTCTTTCTGGAACATTAAATTTAGTATTCTGGAAAATATTTTTCAGAATTATGTAACAAGCACACTTTCGGAAAATACTTTCCAGAATAAAAAATTTACTATTTCTAAATATACTTTCCGGAACAAAAGCTTTATTATTTTGGAAAACACTTTTCAGAACAAATAATGAGAAGAATTACTTGAAAGAAAAAATGCATATGGTTTGACACATTTCCCTTCGATACTGAACCCGCTTACAACTTATAACAAAACTAAAAAGGGAAGAGAATAATGCAGAAATTGAAAAGGGAAGAAGGGGAGGTATGGAGGTGCGAAGAAAAAAGTAAAGAAGAAGAAACGGGATGCACAAAGAAGAAAGAAGAACAGTGAGAAGAGAGGTGTGAATCTGAAAAATTATAAATTAGAAAAATAATAAATCCGGAAGTGTGCTTGTTACATAATTCCGGAAAATATTTTTCGGAATACTTAATTTAATGTTCCGGAAAGAACTTTCCGGAATTATATAAGAACCACACATCCGGAAAACGCTTTCCGGAATAATAATTTTACTATTCCGGAAAATACTTTTATATATATATATTCTCAACGTTGTATATTAAATATAAAAATAAATGATTTACAAATATAAGTTTTAATATCCTTAGTGATAATTTTGGTCTTTTAAGAACTAAACGACTGAGCATTTAAGAAGGTCATTTAGGAAGTAAAATAACTATTTATTTTTGTTTCGGCCAAAAGGACGACTAGGTATCTTCTCCTAGGTCAACTCACTAAGCCAGAACATTCAAGAGTGTAATATGACCTCTTAGCTCTAGGGTTTAAGGTCTTATACTTTCTTGTTTATAGGCCCCATGAGCGTGGAGATTTTCATGACGATTTTTATTTGAGAATATTTAGTTATTAATGATGGGATTTTATCCTTGATATGTTTACCACTATTAAAGGCCTCGTCCTGTGACTCTCAGTGGACTATTGTCTTGGTAACAACGTCTCGGTATTTGCATGTAGGGGACCTCGATTCAGCTCGGGTTCCTAGTCTACCCCTCTTCTCTAGAGGCATATCGGCACTCAACCGAGAGGCTTTATGGATTTTAATAAATGTTCCCTAAGTATGATCAGTTTCGGATCTTGTTCGAGAATCTCCTAGGGAAATCATATCGGATAATGACCGAGACAGAACAATTTTATTATTTATTATTTATTTTTTATGGACATGACAATTAAAAATTAATATATACGCATAGGGTGTGACTTACACTAGTTAAAAATTATTTACTTTATTCATGTTATTTAGGAGGAGATGGTGATATATAGTGTGTTGTTAACCAATCAAAATATGATTGTTCTTAACTTTTTTACTTAAGTTCTAGGTTTGATTTGTAAGAATTTTTCTAGCGAGAACATTTTATAGTTAATCTAATCGCTTAACTAAAATTTTAACATTCAAAAATGTGTCTTTCTTCTCCCACTTTAGAGTTAAGATTTTTATATTAATCATTATGAATTTATAGACCTTAAGAATTACGAGATTTCATAAGATAGTTATCCATTATTGGATAATATATTTCAATATATAATCTCGATTATTTATATGATAAGATTCTTTATTAAATATTGGGATTAATTTTATTTTAATTAGCTCTATACTGATTCAATTGATTATATGCAAGGTGCTAATGTTGGACAAGTTCCATTGCCCCTACGTACATGATACATGTAGGGATCGGGCTAATTCATATCAACTTGTTGGTGTAAAAATTGGATTAATTCTAACCTATCCTAGAAAGTATACACTTATCTATTGATCCTAAATTTAAAAGACGTAAAAATTAGATCGAAGCATCTTTCAAATACACACGATTCTCCACAATATTAAGATAACCGTATCAGTGAATATCCTGAGGATAAAAAAAAAATAAAAATTGAAATCTTAATACTATATATACGCCTCAAATTACAGACCAAGGAAATCATTAAGGAGTTCCATTTGAAACATCAAATGTACAAGTGTTAGTTACGTCACAAAATGATCTTGGATTTCGTGAATTTATAGATAGTGAGTAATGAAATAAAATAATAAGGCAATGAGTGAATTTTTAGAAATTTGATTTTTCTGTAGTTGGATATCACTATAGAGAAAGTTCGAATAATTCCCTTCTAATGATTGTTTCAGAAAGCTTTAGTGAATAATGTTCATAATAGGATGATTGATTTTATGTAGACTTAATCATCTGGAAAGTGGAGGGGTTGCTTTATGCAGAAGGCTGGTTGAATCATATGCATATTAATTTAGTTAAATATTGAGGAAACACTATGAATATAATTATTATATGGAACCGAATCCCGGTAGTAGCTGATCATATTCCTTTATTTTTAGTGGCATAATAGAATTACTTTGCTTATGAAAAGGAGAAAGACACTCATCAAAAGGAGACATGTTTTTATTTATTTATCAGGTACAATAATAAAATTACTTTTTTAAAATTACAACTCCAGTTCATTCACGTATTTAGTGGCATAATATAATTACTTTGCTTATTGTTTCTATAAAACTTTTCGTTCTTAATTCTTTAATCTAATGCCTAAAAAATGTGTTAGTGTTTTTCTTGACATTATTACAGCTATAACTATCATTTAGTATAGTTTAATTACGGTGATGTTTACGTTTGGATAAGGAATCGAACACGTTTTATAATATATTAAATAGGATTCAACATTACAAAATATATGGATTTTATTTATATGACGTATTTCAAAAAGTAAATAAAATATGACACGTGACAAAAAAATATGTTGTTTGATTTAAATAATTAACTCAAAAGAAAATACGTTTCATCTTTTTTTATTGTCTACCAAACTATTTTTTTTTTGGCAATATCTACCAAACGCATTATAATAGTGGTTGATGTATTATTTTTTAAAAAATATATTTGTAATGTGCGTTTGATACTTTAAACATTGCTATTATTTTATACAGATTATGTCACTGAATAATATGAATTTGTCTTCTGTTAATAACATTAATATAACATTTTATCCAATAATAAAATATAAGATTTTATGAAAAATTATTTAATTTTTAATTAATGAATATTTAACATACTCTGTTAGATATTTTAAGATTTTTATTTAATATTTTTAATGTTACAAAAATTTATGTTAAATATATTTATTTATAATGTTTTAATAAACGTGATTGAGAAATAATGAAAGTCTATTAAAAGAAATAGATTGTCCCATGGTAGTCAGTCGTCAAGAAATTATATATATGTTTTTGGTATATTTATGTTTTTTTTTTTTGGTATATAGTCGTCAAGAAAAATTGATAGATACTTTACATTATTAATAATATATTTTTAAAAAATGTTTTAACAATATCTCAAGAAATATATTTATTAATTTTATAAATTGATTTTGTAGGATTAATTAGATTTAAATTTATTATTCTATCCTAAATTATTAAAAAAATATCACCCACCGTACTACATTGAAGGGAAAGTTTAAACAAAAAATGATTATTTGAGAGAAGAGAAATTCAGAAGGAAAGTCGATTTTGAGAAAAGTTGCGCGTAGTGGGCAAAACAAAACGATATTAACGCGCAAACACGTGCGGCGGTGTGTCAACGTGCTTGAGGCGGTGCTTAACACGTGGGTCAATACTCACATCCGTGTATTCTTTTTCTTTCAACTTTTTATTTTATAATTTCAATATTACAAGAGTTAATCATTTATACACGGTCAGTATAAATATTTTTTATACTAATAACTAATCATATCTTTTAATAATATCATGTTAATTATTTATTTAATAAAATAAAAATAAAATAAAATAATTAAAAAAATATAATTAATTATTAATATATAAAAAATTTATATTAACAAGATTAACTAATATTACAATGTTACTCATTATTCTTTCCCATTTCTCAAAGAATTCTTTTTTAACTAATTACTTCTCAGCCTCCTACCATTTCATTCATATTTCTACTATTACTATTATAATTTATTATCTATTTAAAATAATGATGATTTATTTTCAAGATCAATATAGTCATCGTAACTAACTCATTAAGGTTAGTATAATAGTTATAAGTTTAAGTAGTTTGTTAGGTTTTAAACTCAAATTTCATTAGTGTTGTCATTATAATAGCTTATTATTTCTTATAGAAAAATAATTTTTATATCATTATTATATTTATATATTTTATTAATAATAATTATTTGAATAACATTTAATTATTAATTGAGGGAGGTTATAATAATATCGGTGTAACTTTTATTAAGTATTACACCACTCAATAACTTTATATTAAATGCAAAAATTTTAAATCCAACCGTTAGATTGAAAGCTTAAATCTTTTAGATCATATATATAAAATTTTATATTAATTCAAGATTATTTGATACTTCATTTTTCTAAAACAAATTTGATGTAATATATTCATTTCAAAATACACTAAAATATGAATATTTTGATTACTTTCAAGTTGTTCAATTTTAACAAAATTTGATATACATGTATAAAGTGATATAAACTTTCAATCTAACAATTAAATTTATAAAATTTAAATTTAATATAAAGTTATTGAACAATGTACTACTTAATAAAAATTAGATCGATATAATTATAACTCAATCTTATTAATTATCTAAATAATAACGTAAGAATGCTATTCAAACAATATGTTCATATACTTTGAATCAGATGAAGTGACAAGTTATATGAGTCAGACATTCACAAAACAAATATTTATATATAATTTAATCCACACCACAGAGTTCGTTAATTTGGCCTACGCTAACGACCACAAGCCTTACACTTCCTTAAAAAACTAAAATTAGTCGATAAAAATTAGTTATTTATAAGGGAAAAATTGAGTAAATAAAATATATATATATATATATATATATAAAGTGTAAAGAGTATCTAATTAAAAAAATACTAATTATGGTAATTTTGTTAATTTTTATAATAATTACTTTAAAGTTAAATATATATATTTTTAACTCATTGACCTATGTTATAAAAATGTATAATCTTTGTAATCCTGTATTTGTTGAGACACATCTCCTCTTTGCTAAATTTGTTTTGTTGAAGGACTCAAGGTAGGATGAGGAGGTGTTGAAATTTTTCTTTCTCCTCTTAAAGCATCTGCAATGGGGGTTGTTTATAAGCAACTCCCATTGCAGATGCTCTTAGGTTCCTTTTAGTCATAAAGTTGTGATTTCAGAGGCTGAGCATTTCTTCAATTCTCGGAGACTCTATTTACTTCTTCTTTGAAGTATTTGGGCCTCAGATTTAAGATTTTGTAGCTGATGGTGATTTAGAGTAACTTGGAGTTAAGAACCTTGTGCTGTAGGTGTGAAGCTTTTGTTGTTGGAGCTCGGAGTCCATTTCTTTCTCTTTCTCTTTTTCTACCTCGAAGTAGCTTAGAGTTCTTCTTTGGTTTCACTCCGTTTCAAGGTAAGAGAAGCTAGAACTCAATTTCTGATTGATCTGTATGGTGTATGTTGCTTGAAAACTTTCATTTTTGTGGCTAAGAGGTTTTGAGATGGAAGATTTAACAATTTGGGATTTTTGGTGTTCTTGGTGAAAAATGAGGGGTTTGACAATCTAATTGGTGTGTTATTACATGTTCCTTCTTCTTCAATTTTGGGGTTGCATGTTGTTAGAATTTGAAGATTTATGGGTTGCATGCATGGATTATTGCATAGGTTGAGAGGATTTGGAGGTTGGGTGGTGCTCATGGTTGTTGGGGATTTTTTCATTAATGTTAAAAATTTTGAGTTTTGAGACTGAGCGTGAGTTTTCACACTAAGCATGAGAATTGGGAAGTGCCTCTAAAAGGTTGAGGTCAAGTGTAAGTTTTCACTCTTAGCATGATTGAGGTTGAACATGAGTTTCACGTTTAGCGTAAGAGTTTGGTGTGTCTCTGAGAGGTTGACGCTAAGCGTGAGATTTCATGCTCTGTGTAGGAACTTAAAATATTTCTTAAATAATTCTCTGAAAGCCTAAGGCTGAGTGTGAGATTCCATGCTCAACGTGAGGACTTAGCCAAAAATTTTCTTTTCTAATTGAGTTGGTTGTTTATTTGATGAATGAGTTGTATGTGAAACACTTTTAGTTTGAGTTTTTTTATGACTAAATGATAATGAGTTGGGTTGTAGGTGATGTTGTGTAGCTATGTTGAATTTGCTAAATGCATGACATTGTTATATTGTTGAGATGAGAAAAATACGTTTTATGCATGGTGTTATTGTGCTGTTCAAATGATGAATGTTGTGAATGCTTTAGGCATTATGCTGTTAAGTTGTGGTGACCAACCTAGGGCTAGGGGAGAGATTTTTAAAGTTGTATATCACATTGTGTGGATATTATGTTGTGGTACTCTAAAAGCTCAATTTGTTGAAAAATCATTCTTGAAAAGTTGACCCTTGAAGAGAATTGGTGAGTTGAATTTCCTCTAGGACTTAGTTGGTATCGTGTGTGGGTAAGGTCGAGGCACACACGTATAAAACAACTAATTGAGTAAAATACAAAGTCAGAAATTTAGTTCCTAATCGAGTATCAGAAGGACATAGTATTTGGAGTTTATTTGGTGTGCCAATTCCATAGGTGAATAGGTTAAGTTAGCTAATGTTGTAGTAGACTCAAATCCAACTGTTTTACTCTAATAGTGGTATTAGGCTTCATTGTTTAAGTGGAAACATTTAAGAAACCAAATTGTTATATTGTGGATTGATATCCACTTTGTTGTTGATCTAGTAAGCCAAAAGGATATCACTCTGTGTTGTTGGTTCCGTGGGCTAAAATCACTTAAAATGCTCACCTTATGTTGTAGGAGATCAACTAGTTAAAGTATGCGACAACGTACCTAGTGTTATGTTGAACATGTTGTGTTGTGTAGTCTAGGTTGTATATCTTATGTTGAAAATGCCTTGTTGAGTATTGAGGACTTTTGTGGTGGTTTTTGTTGTGGTGTTAAAGTTGATTATGGTGTGGTAATATCTTTAGTTGTTCATATTGACATATACATGTTGGTTGTGTTGCAAAGTTGCATTGTGGATAGTGTTGAAAACGAAAAGAAGATGTGATGATATATATATATATATATATATATATATATATATATATATATTGTGTTGATGTTTTATGTTGTATTTATGTTATTTTCTATAAATTATAGCTTACCTTTGCATGTTTCCATGTAGATGGACTGCGATAATCATATGTGATATGGGAGGAGGGTAGGAATATGTTAGTCTTGAGAGTTATGCAGTGGAAACCACCACAAGGTGCTAGTGTTGGTTGTTCCTTTTTGATGCTACCCTTGAGTAGAATTTGTATATTGATGCATAAAAGTTACTTGACTAATTAATAACTTAGGTTGTATAATTTACATTTTAATCTAGATGACTGTATCTATATTGTATGTACATACTTGTGTGGTTGATGTTCCATTATATACCTTATATATGATACATATTTAGATATTAGTATGCTTTCAATCTTAAGCCATTAGATGAATTTTTCCTGCTAATAATTGTGCTGATTAATGTAGGGACCATTGATAGGTCGTTACAATCTTTTAGTCTTGTTGAGCTTAAGGAGTTAAGGTGAGAGAGTTATGTACTTTTTAATTTGACAATTGACAAAATTATTTTTTTTAACTAACTTTGGTCGAGATGACTACTACAATTATATTTTAACAACTTGTTCATAATCAAATTTGATTTTTATGTAAATGACCAAGTGATCATCATTATTGCTTGATTGTGATAATGACAGAATATATGATAATTTGTAATCGATTAATAATATAATATATTTTAATATATTTTGATAATACAAAAATTAAATGCAAAACTACGAGTAAACACTATAGTATAAGTTTAAATTTTAATCACGTTAAAATTTAATAGTATGCAATAAGGTTAGAATGTAAAATTTTGTGTATACTACCAAAGTTTTCATCATTGTGTTGACTATAGTGATTCTAATTGATTAAAAGACACTCCTTTCGTCTTATAGTAGTATAATTTAAATGTATGGTTTATATGTATCATTTGTATGTATAGTCTGTGTGTTGAGTATGTATATATAGAGTTTGAAAGATTAATTTATACATATAATTTGATGTTATACTCTGTAGGTATAATCTATATACCTTAATATGTCAACATTATATGTTTGTATCATATGTTAATGTATTATATAAATATGTGTTTGTATTACTATTAATGAATAATGAGAGAAAAATAATCATATGTAATGTACAAGTGCGAGAATAATTTTTTTTTTCTACTTAATTTTCATTCTATGTTATTTATTACAAGTGTCTATTTTTGTGTGTGTCATCTCCAACAATAACAAATTAACAAGTGACATCTTATATTATATTATTTTATATAGAACAAAATAAATTATTAAATAAATAAAATACAATAGTAATTTCATACAATTAAATTTATTATTATTATTATTATTATTGTTTTGTTAGAAAGGATATAATATATCGATAAATTTTTTTAAAATATTATAGAGAGCATAAAAAAAAGATAATTAACACTGTATTAAAAAATTAAAATAATTCTCATTTTGATAATATTTTTTTTTTCACATCTTCCACTATACTTTTATGGATAGAAGACGATAAAAAAGTTAAACATAAAACTATTAATCATGAATTAGAAAGGACAAGACGATATAATAGAAAAAACAGGCTACGATGATTACGAGTAAACATTCTCTAGATTCACTCCAAAATTAAAAACACATAAAATCTAAGAAAGAGGAACAAAAGTGATTAAAAAACGAACCCACAAAGCTAAAGCAAGACATAAATAGTAATAAAATGAAAAAAGTGATTAAAAAAATCAGAGAAAATAAGTGATAGTTTTTTTTTACTCATAAAAATGGTAAATAAGGAATAACATCAACTAAAACATTACTGTTCGTTTAGTGATTAATAAAAAATTAATAATAAATTTAAGATTATTAGAAAAATTTTATTTTTAACACTAAAAAATATTGTTAAACAAACATGTTAAATAAAATAAGATTTTAATGTTATAGGAGACATCTAACCGACCTTGAATGTGAAAAAACAAGTGATATATTAACTGGATAAGATAGTTTTATACAAATATTTAATAAAATGATTATTTATAATAATTTATAAACTTTTATAATAATATTAAATATAAAAAAAATATAAGAAGGTTTATATTTATATGCATACATATATAGATATTTTAGTTGTTGAATAAAATGTGAGTATGTCGGGGTGAGAGTGAGAGTTTGATCTACGTCACGTGTAAGCTAAGTAGTGGATACATATAATATATGACAGCCAAGAAAAATAAAGAACGAGAAACCGAGTAACTCTTACACAGCCCAGTTTTCACATAAAAACAGAATACCTTTGTTTATATATGTATGCACAAACTTTGTTATGTGCCAAACCTTAGTCTGGAACCCAGGTGGCCTTTGTTACGCGATTAGCAATGGCATCCTCTTCTTTCTTCTTCACTTTCCTATTCCTGCTTCTCACTATTTCCGGTTAGTCAACTTCTGTATCATTCCATTTTTTAAGTGAATCAATTTTAGAATTTAGGAAGCTATTTGAGTTGTGGAGTAATCTTATTCTGGTCATGTCTTTTTGGCAATGGACCATTTTAGCCTGCTTCAATTGTCATCAGAATACTATTCCTTTTAGCTTCATGGAATGTAAGAGACTCCTCATTCTGTGCTCAAAGGAATCAACCATTAATTTTACTTTCTGATTTTCTCGATTGGGTTTAGTATCTATTCCCCAATTTTGCAGATATTTGTCCAATATCTAATCTGAATTATGAGTTAATTTGTTTGACTCTCTTACATTCAATTTTCAAGCTTCTTTTACTGGCCTTCTTTTATTAGAGATTGGTTGTTAATTATGGTTCTTGAACATTGTAAATTAGAAATTTTAGATTTGTTATCTCTTCTTATATATTCTGAATTTTCAAACTATGTTGTTCAGATTTATTTGTGCAAACCTGTGGACTCAATTTTGGAATAAACTACGGGCAAAAGGCCAACAATCTTCCATCTCATTCTCGTGTGGCTTCTCTCATAAACTCTCTGAATGTCACCAGAATCAAACTCTATGATGCTGATCCGAATGTTCTGTCTGCATTCTCCAATTCAGATGTGGAATTCATTATAGGACTTGAAGACGAGAGTCTGCAGAGCATGAGGGACCCTTCCAAGGCTCAAAACTGGATTCAAAACCATGTTCAGCCTTACATTTCACAGACCAAAATCACATGCATAACTGTAGGAAATGAGGTCTTCAACTACAATGATACTCAGCTCTCAGCAAATCTCCTCCCAGCAATGCAAAGTGTGTACAATGCCCTTGTTAGTCTTGGATTAGCACAAGAAGTTACTGTTACAACTGCTCATTCTTTCAACATTTTAGCCACATCCTTTCCTCCTTCATCTGGTGCTTTCAGGCAAGATCTGATACAATATATTCAGCCCCTCCTTAACTTTCATGCTCAAATCAAATCACCCTTCCTCATTAATGCTTACCCCTTTTTTGCTTACAAGGATAACCCCGACCAAATTTCCTTAAGTTATGTGCTGTTTCAGCCAAATCCAGGGTCCACGGATCCATATACCAATTTGCATTATGATAACATGTTGTATGCTCAAATTGACGCTGTCTATGCTGCCATCAAAGCACTGGGACATACTGATATTGAAGTCAGGATTTCAGAGACTGGTTGGCCTTCTAAGGGCGACCCTGATGAGGTTGGAGCCACACCAGAGAATGCAGAAATATATAATAGTAATTTGTTGAAGAGAATAGAGCAGAAGCAAGGCACTCCTGCAAAGCCATCAGTTCCAATTGATATTTTTGTCTTTGCACTTTTCAATGAGAATATGAAGACTGGTCCTCTATCAGAGAGAAACTATGGCCTTTATTATCCTGATGGTACCCCAGTTTATAACATTGGATTACAAGGCTATCTCCCAGAAATGGTTATAGAGTCCAAATCTAACGTAAGTAGACACATGAGAAATTCATAGTTACTTACCTGTGAAAAGTTTCATTACTTTTTGGTTTTTTGAAACTTTTCCAAAGTAGATTTATGTATCTATTCATGTATCTAATGCTCCCATTGCTATTGATATGCAGGCTTTGTCCATCAATTTTCTCATTTATATATGTACGTGCTTGATGCTCACTTGGGAGCTTTCAAGACAGTGATCAGGAATATAACAAAAATAACTTTAAGTAGATCATACTTTTAGCAAGAGAAAGTTGTTGAAGGTGAGGAATATGTTAATATTGTTCCTGAAATTTTTATTTGCAACTGTTGATATTCTTTATTGCCAATTACTATTTCGGTAACTGTTGGGATGACACAGGGTCTTGTAAATACTGGAAACTAAAATTATTGCGCTGTAGATTTTTTCTATTCCTCCTATGGTTACATGCCAACTAGTTCAGCTACTGAACTTCTAATGCATCAAGCTTACATTATAATAGCAAATTAGCAATCATCACGGGCATAAGTGATGGGAAATGTGGAAAAAAAAATCAAAAGCGTTTTTGATTCCTTCAAGTTATTCTTTGACTTTTTGGTAGTACTATGCCAAATATATAGTATGAAAAATGATATGATGGGAAAGTTTTGGAACCATAGCGTGCAAAAGTTGTGCCTAATGGTATCCTCTTTAAGCAGAACCTGTCAAATGCTGTCCAATTAGTGCTTGTGCATGCACCAAGTGGACACTCTTGCCGCTATAACCACCCCCAGAAAGCCTTACTTTGTTCATTATTTTTATTAAAGAAATGGTGATGGGTCTCCATCTTCCTTATCTCCAACTTGCAATCATGCCTGTGAATCTTCCGGTGAATAAAATTCTTCTTGTCTTCAGCTATACAAAAGTCCAAATTCGGTTTATATCAAACGGGAAAGAAAAACCTTCAGGATCTCTCATGCCAGATAACCAAACCTCGTGATTTTTGTCCTGGGTTTTGAACCTTATCACAGATGGCTTCTCTTTCCACCAGTTTTCCTCCTTCTATTCCCTGATGAACTTTTGTAGGACCCTTTGTTTTAAAGTTAGGTAAAATAGCATCTCTGATAAAAGTTGCTTGTGGGGTTCTTAAACATGAATCAGTTTTCATGCTGGTTGGAATAATTTAAATGACATATTTGTTTATATAAGAAATATTTGTTAAGAATTGCGAGACAATTGTAGGGCTAATTTTAAATTCTTTATAATTGCATTATTGAGATAAAGTCTACTGTAGTTTTTAAATCCCATGTGACATTGTAGAGTTCACCAAAAGGGTATTAAGCAACTCTACCATAGTTGTACTATTGGAGATGCTATAATAGAATTAATTTTTAACCATTTAACCTAATTAAAATATACGAGGAGGTTAATTTCAGTTGTAGCATTGGAATGTCACCAACCAACCGGGGAGACTACTGTAGAATTTTATTAAACTTTTGAGCAAAGAGCTGAGAGAATCTATTTTACCATCTCTATCTAGGACTGATAACTTGTGCTTATAGAATTAAAATTCCTTTGTGTGAACTGTTCCAAGGTCAAATAAGGTTTTATGTTACATTACAATGTGTAGTTGCGTATGATTTGCAACTTTAAAAACCTCAAACTAAGTGTAGTAGTGAGAATCTGAATGGAAAAACTTTCAACTTGGGAACATGATTTACAATTCTGATGGTGCCTCTTTGTTGGACGAGAATCATGTCTTGTGGAAGATTAAAAAATAAGTCATAAAAATTGGGCTGGAGGCGGCTGTTAGAGGTGGCCCAGGTCATTTCAATTAAATTTATAGAATCTTAATTACATCAGCATTGGGATGAGATTGACAGATATAGGAAAGCCACCTACAAATTTCAAAGTTCAAATAGTGATTGTCGCTATTTTATTCCATACCTGATCTTTTGGTGCATTAGATTCCTCTTATGATATTGCCACACTCACAAATCAATTATCTACACTTTTTTACTGTTCTAAACAATAGGGGAAAAAAACCACGCATATTGTTCAAGCAACTTAGTTGAACTGTTTAAAATATATAAACCGAGAATTAGTCACTTTTTCTTTTTTAAATTCTTTCTATAAGTTGATAAATATAAACAATTATTTCTTGAAAATAATTTTGAATTGAAAGTTTAGTGTGTGAGTTGGTGGTGCAATTTTTTGGTTTTAGTTTTTAGTAAAATTTCATCTCAGTAATGCTAATTACCCCACCACCCACCAAACACATGTTTGAGCATAGTTGGCAACAGATTCATAAATTCTGATAAAAAGAAGAGCGTATAGAAAATGAATGGAATAAAAATTTAATACAAATTCAGACACCTTGGGACGTTGAACTAAATGACAAATTGACAACACACACGTAATTTAATAGGTATGTAATGGACCATAGAAATGTGATACAAATTCTTAAACTATTTTTTTTTTCAAAGAACCTAAAAAAATAATTAAAATATGCTGGAAATATTGCATAAAATTTTCTTCCTTCTTTTGATATTACCTTAAAATATATTATCTTTTGGGGAAAGGTACGTGCATGTTATTGACATAATATTGATTTATCTTTACAGGGAGACAAAGGCGAATCCTAGACTTTTCGTGGACAGCTATTGGAGCAGTTGTTCGAGGCTTAATTCGTATTTTGCCTAAATCTAGTTTGTAGCTAAATCCATTTATATAGTTTTTTATTTCACAGTTTAGAGATAATTAAAGGTAGAGCCAAGAATTGGATTTGTAATATGGAATACAGTGATTTTTTTTGACAGAAAGTTGATACAGAAAAAAAAAACATTTTCTGTTTTAGACAAAGAAAGGAGAATTATGTTTATGTTATACATGCGGAAGAAAATGTTCGGTTATAATTTTCGATTATGCGCAGTTTCAGTTGGCAAATTTTATTTGAAAAAATTAATCATGAGTTAATTAACAATGGTGAGTATTTATTTTTATTTGTACTTAATTACAAATATTACTCAATATTTATGCAAGTTGGTAGTAGTTCTTATATAGTTTTAAATGTATTTAAGAAGAATATAGTTGAGAAAAATACAGAAGATTAGTCGTGCAAGCAACAATTAGTAAGAAGTCAAGAAAGTACAAATGAAGATGAAGACACGGAAACATTTGAACTATTTCCCAAATGTTTTGTTTAAGATACAAATATACGAGTAGTATCAAATAGGCTATGTTCAGATTGTGAGGAACTATTTTTTTATATTATTTATTTTGTGCACGCTTAGGTTGCAAAATGATGATGATAATCATTATTATTGTTAGTCCAAAGAGATGATATTATTATAAACAGATCGAAAGAAGTTACTTTAAATTTGTTGTGCACGCTTGGCATGCTATTTTGGGGTTCTTTGCTTTGAAGCTAGCATTGATTGGATGGTCGACCTCCAAGTTGACAATAGTTTTGGGCTTTAAAGGATAAGAAAACAACAAAGATGTTCAGAAAACATATCAATAAGAAATTTAAGGCCCACGTAAGAAAATGAAAGTTTACCAGCTACTGAATGATTGCAATATAATCAATTGGTGGGTTTGTGGAGCTGTACACATCAAGTTTAAGCCATCATAACAGACTCAAAATATAAAAAATTAAACCTAGCATTAGAGATTGCACTATTTCAAACCAAGAAGTAGTAGGTAAACTTTTTTAACATAAAAACATGATGTTTGCTAGAACTTTGATTATACTTGTGATGGATAAAGATGTTACCACCAGTTGAGGGAATGGGAACCAATGGTGAGATTATGATGAAATAGGGCCGTGTCCAGAAAATTTGAGACCTAAGACAATTTGTTTAGGATAAACTTATAAGTTATTAATTTTTATATTAATTTTATAATTTTTTGAGTCACTAAATCATTCATTTTATAACAAAATAATTCTAACATTTCACTCTTTATATATAAGATGGCTAATGTATTCAATCTATCTTGTAAGATTGTTAATCTTAATAATTTATTCTCTCTAAAATTGATTTAAGAAATTTTAATCATGAAAAACTTCTCTCAACGATGGCAACTAATAAAGGTATTGTTAATTATATTTTTGTATTTTATAAGCAATACATGTATTTGAAAAAGAGTCTATTTTTTTTATATAGTGTAATACTTCTATTGAAGTGTTAATTTCTTTGTTTTAATGCTTCTCATAATACTTTTAATTTTAAAAATAAATCAGGACCATCAATATCAACATGTTCATCAATTCTTGAATTTTTTCTAATATTAATACTATTTTTAAATTCATCTTAATTCAATGATTTAAAATTTTTGGATTCAAATAAAAAATAAATTTTTATCCATAAAAATTATAACAACAACAGATTCAAACTTAGGACCATAAAAAAAATGTTTCATGCTATAAATGATAGAAAAAAATATACAAGTGATAAAAAATGAGAGAAAAGAAAAAAAAAAGAGATAATTGATAGAATTTAAAATAAAAATATTATATTTATATTCGTTACTCTTGATTTTCTCAAAATTTAATAAGTGGTGCAATATTTAATAAGTGGTACAATGTTCTAAAATTTAATGTTAGAATTCATATACCAAATACTAACACGTAAAAACAGTAATAATTCAACAAAAAATAGAAAAAATTAAAAAATAGAAATGTTAAAAAAAAAAAAATTAACCAATAGAATCATCATATACACAAAAACTGAATTGATATGGATGATTAGGACCTCGAGGATTTTAACTCTTTTAGTTGATAGATTATTATAAAAATAAAAATTAACAATCAATTATATATTAACCAAGATTCTAAAAAGTATCATACAATATACATTTGTAAAATATGGGGCTTAAGGGGCTTGCCTTACTTCCCTTGTATGTCACACGGCTATGTGATCAAAGACCATAAACTGAGGATACAACTTCAAAGATAACTTTTTTTTTTTTTGAATTTTAAATCCTAAATCCTAAACATATTTACATTTATAGTGAAATGTAGAGTTGTTAAAACTTATTGATTTTTAATTAAAAGTTATAGCTTTGTATTATTTCAACGTGTAAAAAACACATTGTATACTTCAGAACTATTAGGCTTGACTCAAGGTATGTTTAGGAATCCGTTTGTTTCGGTGCAAATGAAAAATTTCACTTTTCAATGCATCAAAATGTAAGACAAGTTGTTGCTTTGAGTTGAACTTTTCTTTGAAGAAGTTTAAATGGCAACGCAAACACACATTTAGTGGTCAGAAACTAGGGTAATACCCAAAAGTCTGTAGTTATCAGATTTTAGATACTGGGTGAATTATGTTCATAAATTAAAAAATAAATAAATCTATATGTGGGATTCCAACATAACAAATTACAAATTCAAAACCAAATTATATATGGGATGGATGCTCCAACACATTCATAATCTGCACTTTGACATTATCATCAAAATCCAATATGCAGCAATTGTCTAGTTACATATGTGTTCATTTGTGCAAACCAAATAGTTGAATTTGAATTAAAATAATCAAGTCAAATTATATTTCTGCAAAAATTATTTAAGATTTGGTTTCCTATTCTATCCATCTAAGCACACGGTGGTTATTCAATTAAGGTATAAATCTAGAATACTAGATCATTGATTTATACTCTATAATAAAATCATACCATTGATTTATACAATTAGACTTTTCTGTTTTTCTAATAATAGTAGCAACTCTCAATACTACGCAAGTTGGAAAATATTCTATTCATGCATGATGTATTATATGGCGAATTAGAGATAATGGTTACTCAAACTTTTTAAACTAAATTTCGTGAATGCTCCGGTTTGTTATTTGTCTTTATATGTTCAATAGCAGGGATAAAGTGCAAATTGAAATTTTATGTATTTGACCTGGTGGAACTCATGTAAACTAAAATTGAGTTAGATCCACGACACGGCTCTTTATTTATTAGCTAGGTTTGATATTTCGTTTAGAAGAAGTAAAATCACTCATATTATTATTTACATATCGAAACAAAGTCTTGGTACCTTACACACATCTCTCCAGAAAGTGTGTAAAGTCTATGCAAATAATAAAAACAAAAAGTTTGAACGCATAAAACACTTCTGTGTACATACTTATCACTTTTTTTTGCCACAACACCCTTTATCAGTAGCTATATATAGGTAAATTGTTGGTCAAATAAAGGTAAAAGAAGTGCTTCGTATGAAAGCATGTGTCTAGCAAAAATAATCATAACAAATCGTAGCGCCTTAAAATTTCTTCACAATCAAAGTCATAAAACAATCAATTGAATGTAGCACCAAAGAACTTGGAAATCTTGAGGATGATGAGCATCACTTTCAATCATAAGGTACAAGGAAAGGAAGGACCATAGTCATAAAGGCATCGTATGAAAGTGTAGCTGAACCCGTATAACGTGTGTCCTTCTCCTTAAATTTATCAGTCAGACCCTGAAGGTGCAAAAAGTAATTAGCACTGTAACAGACACAAGTATAAATACAATAAGCAACACTTAGTTACAAATACATGTATTTCATGGCAATGCTAGTTTCTACATATTGAAATAAACAAATGATGCTCCAAAATGTTATTAGTCCTTCAGATTTTTCTTCACAAAGTTAATCTGATATAGAATGCATGCTACCCAAATGATTATTTCCTATCAAATATCACATAATAAATATAATGCACATGAATATAACAGGATATAGACATCTATGCATGTCCCGTAGCACATATATATATGAAGTAAAACAAACTATGGATCAAGTAGAGAAATGAGGCACATCCATAGATTCAAAAGGTCGTTGAGTCTTACCTTAATAATCATCCCACACCTGCATACATCCAAAAACAGAACATCAGATATATAATAACATTTCCAAATGCAGCAAAAGTCAATTTAGTCCTTGAAAGATATGAGAATATCAATTTGGTGCTCCAAACATTAGCTACATCAACATGGTCCTCAAATCATTTTATCATTACATGACAGCAGTAAATCTTTTGATGCAAAAAAAGAGAAGAAAAACATTATTTGAGGACAAGGTTGATGTAAACATTTGGAGGATCAAATTAAAGATCCAAAAGTCTTTTCAACGACCATAACGAAAATGCACTTTGTTGAAAGATCCAGATAAAAATATCTTACTCGACAAAACTGTCAAAACCAAGTTCAACCCTCCTTCCACTTCCATCACCATACTTGGAAAGCAGAAGTTGTAGCACCGAGCCAGGCACCGCATAGCCAATACCATACAAAGCATCTCTTAGTTCTAGCGGATCAATTTTGCCACTCTTGTCTTTATCGTACCTCTCAAATATGCCCTAAAATTGAAGCAACAAGTTCATAACCATGCGCAATTAAAACACATTTTAAACTTAATTAAGTTTTGAAATACAATCATACATCGATAAAATAATTAAAAAAATAATATAAAACAGTGAAAACTTAAGTCTAAAGCAGATAATTATAAAAATAATAAAATATTTCCTCAAATAAATATCATAAAATAATTTCATCAGTAATACTAGAACTGTAGGTTAGATTTGATGGTAACCAATAAATTATAATTCTTATAAAGTGATAAGTGCTAATGTGATAAAAAAAAAATGTTAAAATAAAAACAAATTTTATATCGATAAAATAATTATAAAAAAAGAATTTATAAAACACATATATATTCCGATGATTAAGAGAACTAAATAATCTATCATTAAGGATGTAGATATACATATAGAGGAGGGATAATGAGTAACATGGCATACACATAACAAGCAACATGCTTATCTTCAGAAGTTTAAAAGAATGTGAAATTGATATATTAATTTTACAAATTTACTTATAAAATAAGATTTTCCTCCATTTATATAAATCATTTTAATCATAATATTAGTCGACCTGATATGGGAAAGAATAATATGAAAAAGAGACTTACTCGCCAATGTCCAAGGCAACTCCAAAGTGCTGCAAATTCCTTAGGTCCTGCATAGGCACAAGCAATTGGAAAATGATATGAACATATTATACAAGTGAAAAGTCCAACAAGGCAAGAAAAGAAAGAAAAATTGGTATAGAAGTTAGAACCAATTGTGAGGGGTTGGTGTGGATTCTTGAAGAGGAACATAAGGAGGCGAATAGTTCTGAGGTTGAAGTGGTGAAATCCAGAAGAGAGAGCTTGTTGCAATTCACGCTCATCGATGAAGCCGCTTCCATCTCTATCCACCATCTGAAAGCTCCTGATCACATCTTGGGGTGTGCCTGGTGGAAAACTAGACGATGAAACGTTTCCATAGTGGTAGTTGGACGAAGCATTGGATGCAGAAGTGTGATGGTAATTGGAATATGGAGGTTGTTCTGGCGCAGATGGAGCATAGGACTGAGATTGAGAATGGTATCTACCGTACGAAGAAGACATAGTACCAAGTTCTCAGTTACAATTAAAATTACAAATTGCACGAACACGTTGAGAGAGAGAGATAACGGTACTTTCTGGATTGGATTTGTTAAAGCTTAGGCAGACATGTTGATTTGAATGTATCATTATTATTATTATAATAGGATTTGACGTAATGACAGAAATCTAAACACGACACGACACGATAACGTTATTTGCAAAGAGGGTGGTCAACATCGGTATGCCATGCCATGTCGGTTTCATCAATATTTATCCTAAACCTTCATAAGGAGTTACCTTTTCTAGTTAACTACTACATTTTTAATGTATTATTAATGTAAGATAATACACTAATTCAACTAGTTCTCTATAAATGGGAGGGATAACCCAAGAGGTATTGAATTAATGGAACCTCAAAAGATGAAAATTTGAAGGAGCTACACATTATTGTGCTTATGCTTCATCTCTAAGTAGACGTAACACATTTCTTCGCCTTTTGGCTAAGATCAAATCAATAAGGTAGACGCCGAGTCCAAATTCGTGTTGGGCTATCCATTATGGAAAAAAAAAAGTTTTATAAAGTAAAAAATGTACATTAATAGAACTAACTTTTCTAACGTAAAAATTTATCTTATACAAACTAGTTTTTTGTGATGTAAAATCCATCAAATGGAAAGTAGCATTTTTTTATATATAAATTACATATATTCTCGAAACAATCACATTTGAGTCAATAAAAATATTACCTCTGATAATTTTTTTTAATATTTAACACAGTTGTATATTTAGACTTTACTCAACTATTGATTAAGTTAGAATAGCAAAATAATATAATTTTTATATTATAAGTACTAGTTTCCATAATGTTTTAGAATATAACTAGTTTCTGTAAAAGGATTTTTTTTATAAAAAAAAAATTAATAATGGGATGTAAATAGCATGGGCCTGTATTTTATTCCCAAACTGAGGTGCTGGTTTTGTGGTCCATAAAAATTCCCAAACACGTGGGTGCATGTGGATTATGGGCACTGTCTGACTTGGTAGTTTGGGCTGAAATTGGGTGAAGGTTAGACCCAACTTATAGTACATGTAAAGTGAGAAAGCGGTTTAAAAGATAAAATTTAGAAGGCAGATGTTAAACACACCTCCACTCTTGTATAAATACACCCCCTTTTTAAAAAAAAATATATAAAAAGTCTGAATTACCCTTAAAAAATGAAATTTCTAAATTTACACCTCCTTCCTCGCACTCTCCTTCCCCGCACCCCCCTTCCCCTCACCTCACACCCTCCCCGGTAACTGGCCGCATCGGCCCGGTTACCTTCGTCACCGTCGGTTCCCGCAACCAAGCCTTTTTTTTCTTTCTGAATATGCTTCAATGGCCATAAATGTTCGCACTGTATGTGGTGCACTGAGAAGGTTCACTCCACTTCATGCCTCCGATTGGGTTTCGAAGAGAAAAGGTTTCTGCTGCAAGATGTCGACCGAGTCAACTCCCTTGACTCACTCTATCACACTTCCCAATAAATAGAATGAGCCCGTTCTCATCGTTGCTGCTCCCGGACTCTCCCATTCTGATTTCTGGTCACTCATATTATATTTTCTCCTTTAATGTTACCGTTGATTCACATTATAAACCAGAAAGTTTCACTTTTATTAAGAAAAAAATTGATTTCATAGTGATATGTGAGAAAAACATTGATATTAGCAAATATGATCCAGGTCCTTTGTTTTTAAATTGAATCGAATTAGAAACTAACTAGAAGGTTTTAATCAGTTAGGAGCTAGATTGAAAGTTACTTCATGACATTAAGCGGAAAAAAGTTATAGGAAGAAGGGAGGTGTGGGGTGTGGGGGTGCGGGGAAGGAGGTGTGGGGTGCGGAGAAGGGGGTGCGGTAAACGAGAATGCGGGGAAGGAGGGTGTAAATTTAGAAATTTCATTTTTTTAAGGGTAATTTAGACTTTTATATATATATTTTTTTAAAAAGGAGGTGTATTTATACGAGAGTGGAGGTGTGTTTATCATCTGCCAATTTAGAATTGTAAGTGTTAATAAAAATAATAATGAGCAAGATAACACATATAATTTATTGATGAGAAATAACGAAATTTAGACACCCTTTATTTGCAAATACTTCATCAACACTCAAACAAATTCTCTTTATCTTTCTTCCTATTTATTCATATCACCTATTATATCCATATACTTATTTTTCTATTTCTCTTTCTTTCATGTGTTAAATAGGTTGTTAGGTATCCAACAATCATTTTTGATTGTAGAGTTGTTACATCTTATTTTATTAATTTGAATTACCGGTTATATAACTTTGTATTTCCATATCTAAAACAGATGCTTCAATTTGAAGAAAATCTATATGGTTTGTTGTCATGTTCAAAGAGAAATCAAGCTATGTAATATAAGTTAATTTTACACCATTATTAATCATAAATTATTATTTATGGTAAATTATTAAATCTTATAATAAATAAATATATCAATAATAATATTCGATTAATTGACGGTGTAAACTTATTTTATATCCGATGTTTGAGCATTAAATTCATATTCAAATACATTAAATGTTGGTTGGTATATCCACTAAAGTAGTGTAAAACAAATTAACCCAATTATAAAAGTGATTTTAGCATGTTTATATCATGAAAGGTCATATAATCATTTTGTAGTGCCTTATTATAATTGAGCATGTTGTGTCATTATGCTTCCATATCAAAGGCCATAAACAACACAACCTCCTCCATCGCCATACCACATTTTGTATCAGTCTATTAGAAATTACAGCTTGTGCAACTACAAAGGCATAGCCACATAATCATTTTGCACACTGCACATTTTCATCCTCTATTATTCACAGTCATAAGGCTTCATGTGTTTTGAATCCATGCTCTAGTAATCTACTCTCATTCTTGAAACAGGGAAAACGAGACCTCAGAACAAAGCCACCAAAACACAATAGGTTTCACGTGTTTTAGGGCTTACATCACTAAAACCAATATAATCTCCTCAAGTATGGGTCAAATGTCTAAAATAGTCAAAGATGTTACGATCACAAGTCACAATCAAATTTTAATTACGACTCACAACTAATAAGTTTCTCTCATTCTTACCAGCATCTTCATGTTTAAATAAATTTCATGAGTAAAAAGTATATATTTTACTATGTTAAATGGGAATCGAAACAAGATAAAAGTCTTTAAATCAAAATTTATATCACTAAAGTGAGTTTTATTTCTCTCAACAATTTTTTTTTATATATATATATATATATATATATATATATATATTAGTATTCAACTCCTAACAAACAACATGTTTAAGAAACCTGATTATTTAAAAATTATGTTGGACTTTGTAGATAAGAGTATATTTAATGAGTTAATCACTTATACATTACTAGTGTAAAGTTTTTTTATACTGGCAACCAATTATATTTTTTAATTGTGTCATGTCATTGTTAAAAGTAAATGTGTTTATAGTGACATGACACAATTAAAAATATAATTGGTTGCCAGTGTAAAAAAAATTTACAATGACAGTGTATAGATGATTAACTCATATTTAATTTAATGTAATGTATCAATATTTAAAGTTTAAATTATATTTAGAAAATTTAAGCAATAATATTTAAATAAATAAATAATGAAATAAAAATTTTAATTTCTATTTACCATTATTGCGAAGATTTTTATACTATCAAATAATCAAAATTATTCTAAATATGACTTTTGTTGTGAGGTGAGCAAAAAGTAATCTCACATGTTGGCCTTCACGGTAGAGTTGACGATGATTTCAAAGGTCTTGGCAAATCTCTAGTAGTTGTACATGCAAGAAGGACTGTTCAAATAGTTAAACTAAATTAAATTATATGTGACCTAAACTAAATTATAATTATAGTTTGATTAAATTGAATTAAACTAAAAAATAGTTCCAAAAAATTGAACTAAACTATTTTATATTTTAGTAAACTATATAGTTTTTAAGTTTGAACTATACTATAATTTATACTAAAATAACATTATTATTATTAATATAAACTGAATTCAAATGCATTTTAAAAAAATGTCTTTTCAATTTTAAATTTAGAATTTTTTTACTGTTAAACTTATGTTAAAAATAAATAAATAAATTTACAATAATCTATAATTATTATGTTATATTTTAGTAATTTAATATTTTAACGAGTTTATAAACTAGTTAGATGTTATAGAATAAAGATTATATATATAAAAATAAAATATCTTAATAAACACTCTAATTTTCAATAAATTTACTGATTTTATTAATTATTAAATATAAAATTTAAAAATAATATCTAAATATTACATATAACTATTTTTTTTTAGTTAATACATTCTTTATAAAATAATATAACTTTTAAAAATTATTATAAAAATATATACCATTACTTTTATAATATTACAAAATCAATCGTTAAACTCAACATTATATACATGGGATGAATCAGAACGCGACGAGTCAACTTAAAGATACGTCGGATCCTTTTATCTCTAATTTAACGAAACTTTAGACAATAAATATGTTTTTAACGTTCATCTAATTCTGAATAAATAAAAAATCTTCCATACACAGGATAAAACTACTCCATGAAGAATAAAAGCAAATGATTTTTTTTTTAATTTAATGAACGCAATCTCACGCGTATTAATTATTACTATAGGCAATAAATACTCTATTGATCATTCATAATCAAAAGCTAGGATTTCAATAAATTCTTTTGAAAAAATATTAATTTACAGTATCTTATTAAGACATCATCATGTTTAGCTAATTATTATAATTTTTACATTTAGTTAAAGATATATATTTAAGACATATTATATGAGAATAGAACTTTTTAGGTGAAAATGATTGAAAATTTTAAATTTAAAATATAATTTGAGAGTTAAAATTAAGTAAAAAATTAAGTTTTATTCAATTGTTAACACTTGCATTAATTATTTGTTCTTTTATTTACAAATGTTGTTATCTTATATAAATGATTATATGTGTCACTTCTATAAATAAATAAATAAGAGGATAATATTTACTTAAAAACTAAAAATATGTATGTCATTTAAAAATACATCATGGAGGATTAGTGTAATTTTTCCTATTAATTATG